AGAAGATGCAATACATTCAAGTTAAAAGCACGAGAGAGAGAGAGAGAGAGAGAGAGGTAGGGAGGAAGGAGAGGAGAAAGATTCCATATAAATACCCTGCATCCCATTGCTTTCGCTTCGTATTCCGCTCTGTCCAGAAGCACTTTGCCAATCCCCTTTCCACGATACTTGGATTCTACACATATAGTCTCCACGTAACCCTTGCTTGGATCTGATTTTTTTTCAGCAAGAGCCATGTCCATACACGCCATTCTGCAAAGGAATCCACACCTTTTACTAATCAAGGTTCGTTATTTCTTTGCTTTTCCATAAATCATTTGAGAAACCAAGCCTGTAGACTGTAGTTATTTTACTGTTGGTTGAACAGAGAGCGGAAAGTTGACATTTCAGATGAGACACAAATAAGAGTTCCAGTACATACCCACATAGGACTTTGCAACTAAGTCCATTCGTGTCGAAATGTGGTTCTGGCAAGCTGAAAATAAAAACCTCTTAGAATTTGACGTGTACAGATTCCAGTTTGGATACCCCTTTTTCTGTATTCTGTCACTTAGGCCTAAAGTGGTTTGGAAAGATATAACTTTAACATCCATGACTCGTTTTTCAATCTGAGAAGAAACCCCTCCTGTCACAGCTCAGAATTTGATCTGATATCTGCTTCTGATATTGAAGACTAGTTTGACATGTACGTAGAGACAATTTAGTGGTCCTGAAGTGTGCAAATATGCATCATATTATATCGTTATTTAAAATATGATGCATATCATAGATCGAGCCTATGAATGCCCTTACTATTGTTGTTGTTTCGTCAGCATGGGGCAATAAACGGAATGGAGTTCGACTTAAAGGAATAAGCAAATATTTTCAATTAAAATTATTTGTTTTGGACAGAAGTAGAGGAGTTCTTTTTGGTTTTGTCTGTAAGAAAGATACCATCCTTAATGCTTACCTCCTGTCTGCATAGAAACCTAATACGATTGCGCCAGCAAAATGACAGCCAAACTCGTCACTTAACTCGGCAACGAAATATCTGGGCCACCATTGAGGAGATCTTCTCAACCCATTGCCCCACGCTCTACTCACTTTATTGACACTGAAAGTCAATATAAATAACTTTGTATAATTTAAAACTACTTAGTGGAGAACCATGCTTGTCATAATCGGTCATAATGAAGATAATGATTGTCGTTTAACTGATTAAATTCCATATAGAAGGACAGTAATGTTGTCATCATATCATGACAGACAACATGGACTAATTATTCGCTGAGCTCCACCAAAACAAACGTGATAATGACTTGCATGTTTTGTATTTCCTACAGACTTCTTTAGTTTGACACTGAAAATTAAATGTTTTATTGATTGAGAAGCCTTTCGATGCAATCTGAACAATGTCTGAACACAATTCACTGTTGAAACTGGAAACCATGACGGAGCCCAGGTAAAAAGACTGAAAAGCGGGGACAAATGCTTGTGTTTAATACATATTTTAACCCTGAATTCTCAAATATTCGGGCTGAATACGAGATGAACGGGTCCTATGGACAATATATATAGCATGGTCTGCAAAGTAATATACTGATTATATTTTAACTTTAAGTAGGATTGCTCGCGCGATCGTGTTAATATACGACCCATTATAATGCGTACATGTAGCTCTGTCACAGCTAAAAATAAGCAAGAACCCCTGGATTGAACGTTCAACAAGTCATATATAACAATATTAATACTGCAGTAACGTGGCATTGTCAACTGTTATACCCTTATTTCAATAGAATACGCTCTTTAGAGTGTCGCTTGCATCTGTATTGCACTAGCAATCATGCAAATGTATTAAAATACCTCTAGTCGCTACTGTAGGTTACATAAGTAATGGTTTCCAGCTTACTTAGATTTCCCTACTGCCCATTCAACCTTCCCCCGGAACGCCTCGATCTGCAAGTTCGCGACGTTTTCAGAGTCTTGCTCTGTCATAGGTCTTATCCTTATAGGACCTCCATCGTCCCCAGGCACAGGTCCCAAAATATTGCTCTCAGGTTGATAGCTTATCACGAGACCCGCCATTGTGAAGCCTATGTACAACGCGAAGAAATAGAACCTACATGTATGCACACATTTCAATAATCGTTGACGTTGAATGTTTACAGCATGCCGCTAAGTAACAGTGTTTAGATTGCAGTCACAGTAAGGGGTCAGGACTGATCGGGTATTAAGGCATCACGAACAAATCTTCACCCCGCAATTCGCTCGGAAAGAGCTAGGATCCAAAATATTTTGGATCCTAGGAAAGAGTTAGTATTTCAATATGGAGCACACAACGCATTGAGCTTATCAGTTTTTCGTATCTCGGGTATTACGTCCGGCATTACCTACTTATTGACCCTTTACTTCTCCAAGCGCAACAGACCTTTCCAGATAGGAAACCTCATCCATGTAATCACCAAAGAATCAGCTAGCTTAAAGGAAATACCCGACAGCTTTCTATACATATCAAAACAACAGGCCTATACTGCATCGTATTCATTAACAAATAGCTATTTTAATTATCGAGCAACGTATTCTAGCAACATAAAATTGTTTATATATTTATTAATTTATTTATTTATTTATTTATTTAGTCGTTTACACATTATCGGTCTTTTCAAATCGTGAAAAAGGGACACACCTGGAAAACCTGCATTTTACGTTCGTTTCCATACTTTGAGTTAGTTTTATAATATTTTTAAAATTATTCATATAAATTAATATATCTGCGATCAACGTATGTCCTGAATTTGTTTTATTCAGATCTATACATGTATATTTACAAGACCTTTAGAAACATTTGAGTGTTTAAAACTTTAATCGATTATTTCTCAGCCAAAATGGCATGAATAGATGCTTCAAAATAATTTCTCACTCTTCTCAAAGGACGCCAGTTTTTGTTTCTGTGAACCCTCTGGTGTTTTTTCTTTACAAATATGCGTTAATTAATTATCCAGCATGAAGTCAACATAAGAAACAGGTGAACCGTTTATTCTTAAAGAAATTTAGGCCACTGTCCAGTAATACAGTTTTACATATCCAGCACTACAAATACAAGTCACATAAAGATATCAGCAATGTGTTACATTATATGATAAAAATTTATTACAGAAACAAACTAAACGTTTTACATAAACATACATGTAAAACAAATGGATGAGTCGTGTGGAGTTCTGAATTATGGTAAACTAAGATTTGACTGGTTTAGTTATGAAACGTTTCATTTGGTGCACATAATGCAACTTTTGTAAACGTGGACATTAGGTTGATTTTGTCTTATGCGATTGCAAATAGCAAATAGATTCAGACAGATTTATCTGCATCTGCTCTCTCTCTCTCTCTTCTTCATGCACACACACAAAAACGGACTACATTTTAACCGTTTCTGTCGCTCGTAGAGCCATCTCACATTCTCAAATCGATCTAGTCTCTACTGCCATGATTTTTACTTAAGTAGAAAATCTGCCACTTCTCAGCTGCAGGAAGCGAGTCCTATCCGGTAGGGCAACATTCAAGTAGACAATATGGGAGTTGTGTCGCAAGTTTTTATTTTCTCTGCTTTCTGCTTATTTGCTGGCCTCGTGGCCATTTGTTTTGCAGAGGAGATACCTGCGGGCATTTACAGTATTTAGGGTCTCAACGTCATGTGGTAGGAACGGTTGAAATCAAAGACTTTTCACCCGACCCGGCGACATTTTACAACAACTACATCAGACCACTTCTATTTAAAGGGAAAGCTAAAGGTATCCCAACGTTCAACTTGTGGACTGATAAATATCTACGAACTAAAAATATATTAAGATCGACATTGAAAAGGGAAAGGAGACTCGACAAGGAGGCATGCTGCGTGTGCCGATGTCCACCTTCCTAAATTTATACGAAGAAGCTCATATTTAGATGGTCTACAGTTTGGGTACTAAAATGATGGAGGAGTTTCACCTCCCGAAGCTCCTCTTGTGTTGTGGCTACACCAAAATCCTGCAGGACGCTGTGCTGTGGTTTAGTAGCGGGGGTACTAAGTCAGTGTTGCACAGCGACGATATCGACAATATCAACTGTCTCATGGATGGAACCAAGCGACTAATATTTATTGATGAAAAGTACAAAGATTTGGTGGAAAAGATATTTCAGAAAAGACCGTGGGTATAACTCTGTGAATGCTGAGAAAGTTGACATGGAAAAATTTCCAAGCTTTCGGAATATACCTTGGTCGGAAGTCACTATGGATAAAGACGACTGCCTCTTCATCCCCACAGGATGATACCACCACGTTCCCTCAAAAGGTCTGCGTATTCTACCCCGAGTGTCAGGGCACTATAAAGCTAGCTTGCTCACTATTCATAACTTTGCAGTGGGAGCTTTACAGTGGCCCTGACGAACAGCGACAATTTCGAGTATCCGTCCATCAAAGGAACTGTTCAACAGTAAATCTGCGGTTGAATTTTATTAGTCTAAAATCAAACGTAAAGCATATTTAATTTTGCTTTATTTAATTTTACTCACTGTATTTAAGATGTGAATTGAAAATTTTATAATATCTTTTTAGAAGAAAATGATATGCCAGATGTTATTGTATTTTTTGCTTATCAAAAAACATTTTCTCCTGAAGATATAAACACAATACACGTGCTTGTCGTATGCAAAGTTTGACAGCTACACTGTATGTCCTATAAGGACTGCGCAATGGCTGCACCAAAAATCAGATTTAAAGCAGAGAGATGCTTGTGTTGTTGCAATGATTTTCGAATGCATTATAAGGTATTCATAGTTCAAACTTCAAACTCCGCGTCATCTACTTTGCTTCTTTGTCTAGTCTGCACGAGATGACGTCAGCTCAAGGAGGGAAAGGCAGCTACAAGCGGGACAGATCTGTGACGTTCCAAATATGGAAGCGCCAAGGCAAAATTTTGCCAAACACACCTCCAATCTGTTGTTAGTGGCTAGAGTCAGTATTGCTAATAATAGCAGATCCGTGGTCAACATATACAAAAACTATTTTATTCAATGTATGATATCTGTAAGAATTTGGTTATAGGTATGCGCATTTGGACATACAATGTGAAAAGCTTAAATGTCACTTTGAAAAAAAAAATTAAGTTGCATCTTTTACAAATCCGTCATTACAAAAAACTGACAAAGACCACTATACGAAAATATTACGAGCAACATATTGCTTATAACTGTAAACTCATATTACATAATCACAAGCAATCAACAAAACAAAGAACTATTTGAAACAGGCACTTAAATTACATCAAACACACAATATTATGAGATTGCAAGCGACGTGGTGCTTATATAACAGACCTGTAGCCAGGGGAGTTCGGGGGGTTCAAAAGAACCGCCCCTTTGCTCGGAAAAGGTCTACTTTGAGTAAAATTCGATCTAGGTACATTAAGTTTTTATGGAAAAAGGTCCACTTTTTCAGAAAAAGAACCCCCCCCTTTTGAAATTACTGGCTACGGGCCTGTATAAGGACTCTAAAGCAAATACGTTAATTTTTCTTTTTTCATTAAATCTTGAAGATATCTGTTAAAAATACTTAAACACTAAAAAAGCTCAACATTAAAAAATACTTGCGTTACTAATAAAATTCTTTATATCCAAACAATATTTCTTAAAATTCTGGAGATATAAGTAAGAGAGATATAAATATAGTTCTTTTTGAAATCACATACACCTGAGATTCAGAGGCTACAATAAGTCCATTTCTGTTAACAGCACATATACAGTGTATCACGGAAAAATTGTGCTGGCTGGTAGTTAATCTGGTACATTCCCATGAAGGAATCGGGGCACCGCCCATATTTTACTAACATATGTCATTCTGTGCAGAAGGATGTCAAATCGGTTATGTCCAATACTGCTGTGGAAAGACATTAAGTCACCTGCATACACTGACAGCATGGTTAGTTGATCCTTTAGAATTTCAAATCTGTGGTGCATACATACTTTTTTCTTCCGTCTTTTCCTTTTTCATCGAAAGGCATATGTACGACAACATCAGCATATCCTGTCTTCCTATTTCATTCTAAATAAGCTGTTTTTCCATTTCGTAAAAATGCTAAAAGAAATGGAGTACTTGTCAGCTATAAATAATTACGTTACAGCATATATTACATTTCAGTAGTTGGATCAGTGTGCATCATTTTCAAAACTAAATTGATTTAATTATTGGCAAATTATTGGTATAAAAGTCTCAAACAAGTCAGTCATTACTCATATGCGAAAGTAGCAAGGAAGTGTCAAGGGGCGGATTTAGGGCGTCTTCTGGGTCTTCCGGAAGACGGTCAGATTTTCAAATTTACATTGACGGGAATCTAATTTTTTCTGTCGGAAGACGGTCAAAAATGGAGGATGGATCAACAAAGATAAATTGGAAGACTGTCAGAAAATAACTCTGGATCCGCCCCTGGTGTCAGGGGACCCCATCCAGTTCTGTATGCCAAATATTTCATTTAAGACTAATAAGTTCTAAAGATATAACCTTGTGGAACAAGGCCCAGTTAACAGGGCCCCCCAAAAGCACATATTTTGCCTTGACCCTCCCCCAAACATATATATATATATATATATATATATATATATATAAGCATGTGATAAACCACGGTGTACATGTTTATAACAGCCCTTACCCTGACTCCAACTGCACAATATGTGCAACAGCAACCATCATGGTCCTTTGTCACTCTATAGCCCTGACGTTCATACAGGTTCTTTGCTCGATTTGTTCGTTTTACCTTTAGATAGATGGACTGTAAACAAAACAAAAACATTGCATGTCAAATATATCTGAATATACAGAATATGCAATACATTCAAGTTAATAGCACGAGAGAGAGAGAGGTGGGGAGGAAGGAGAGGAGAAAGATTTCATATAAATACCCTGCATCCCATTGCTTTCGCTTCGTATTCAGCTCTGTCCAGAAGCACTTTGCCAATCCCCTTTCCACGAAACTTGGATTCTACACAAATAGCCTCCACGTAACCCTTACTTGGATCTGATGGTTTTTCACCAAGAGCCATTTCCATACACGCCATTCTGCAAAGGAATCCACACGTTTCACTAATTAAGGTTCGTTATTTCTTTGCTTTTCAAGAAATCATTTGAGAAACCAAGCCTGTAGACTGTAGTTATTTTACTGTTGGTTGAACAGAGAGCGGAAAGTTGTTATTTCAGATGCAAAACAAATAAGAGTACCAGTACATACCCACAGAGGATTTTGCAACCAAGTCCATTCGTGTCAAAATTTGGTTCTGGCAAGCTGAAAATAAAAACCTCTTAGAATTTGACGTGTTAGAAATATGCAAAGTTTCCAATTTGGATACCCCCTTTTCTGTATTCTGACACTTAGGCCTAAAGTGGGTTGGCAAGAAATAACTTTAATATCCGACTCGTTTTTCAATCTGAGAAGAAACCCCTCGTGGCACAGCTCATAATTTGATCTGATATCTGTTTCTAATATTAAAGACTAGTGTACATGTACGTAGAGACAAGTGGCTCTGAAGTGTGCAAATATGCATCATATTTTATCGTTATTTAAAATATGATGCATATCATAGATCGAGCCTATGAATGCCCTTACTATTGTTGTTGTTTTGTCAGCATGGGACAATAAACGGAATGGAGTTCAACTTAAAGGAATAAGCAAATACTAATTTAATTAAAGTTAATACTAATTTAATTAAAATTCTGTGTTTTGGACGTAAGAGGAGTTCTTTTTGGTTTTGTCTACAAGAGAGATACGTACCACCCTTAAGGCTTACCTCCTGTCTGCATAGAAACCTAATACGATCGCGCCAGCAAAATGACAGCCAAACTCGTCATTTAACTCGGCAACGAAATATCTGGGCCACCATAGAGGAGATCTTCTCAACCCATTGCCCCACGCTCTACTCACTTTATTGACACTGAAAGTCAATATAAATAACTTTGTATAATTTAAAACTGCTTAGTGGAGAACCATGCTTGTCATAATCGGTCATAATGAAGATAATGATTGTCGTTTAACTGATTAAATTCCATATAGAAGGACAGCAATGTTGTCATCATATCAATGACAGACGACATGGACTAATTATTCGCTGAGCTCCACCACAACAAACGTGATGATGACTTGCATGTTTTGTATTCCCTACAGACTTCTTCAATGTGACACTAAAATTAAATGTTTTATTGATTGAGAAGCCTTTAAATGCAATCTGAACAATGTCTGAACACACATGCACTTTTGAAGCTGGGAACCATGACGCAGCCCAGGTATAAAGCCTGAAAAGCGGGGACAAAGGCTTGTGTTTAATACATATTTTAACCCTGAAAATCTCGAATTTTCTAAATATTCGGGCTGAATACGAGATGAACGGGTCCTATGGACAAATTATATAGCATGGTCTGCAAAGTATATACTGATTATATTTTAACTTTCAGTAGGATTGCTCGCGCGATCGTGTTAATATACGACCCATTATAATAGGTACATGTAGCTCTGTCGCCGCTAAAAATAAGCAAGAACCCGTGGATTGAACCGGGTGACGTTCAACAAGTCATATATAACGATATTAATACTGCAGTAACGTGGCATTGTCAATTGTTATATCCATATTTCAAAAGAATACGCTCTTTAGAGTGTCGCTTGCTTCCATATTGCACTAGCAATCATGCAAATGTATTATAATACCTCGTGTCGCTACAGTAGGTCACATAAGTATGGTTTCCAGCTTACTTAGATTTCCCTACTGCCCATTCAAACTTCTCCCGGAACGCCTCGATCTGTAAGTTCGCGACGTTTTCAGAGTCCTGCTCTGTCATAGGTCTTATCCTTATAGGGCCCCCATCTTCCCCAGGCACTGGTCCCAAATTATTGCTTGCAGGTTGATAGCTTATCACGAGACCCGCCATTGTGAAGCCTACAACTCAAAGAAATTGAACCTATGCACACATTTCAATAATCGTTGACGTTGAGTGTTTACAGCATGCCGCTAAGTAACAGTGTATAGATGGCAGTCAGTAAGGGGTCAGGACTGATCGGGTATTAAGGCATCACGAATAAATCTTCATCCCGCAATTAGCTCGGAAAGAGCTAGTATTTCAATATGGAGCACACGACGCATTGATTGATCGTATGATATCAGTAGGGCCTATCTCGTGTATTACGTCCGGCATTACCTACTTATTGACCCTTTACTTCTCCGAACGCAACAGACCTTTCCAGATAGGAAAACCTCATCCATGAAATCACCCAAGAATCAGCGAGCATATTAGGGAAATACCTGATAGCTTTCTAGACTTTCTATACACTACACAAAAAGAGACTGAGTTTGCTGAACTTCGTTTTTACCAGTCGTAATTTAATATTTTAGCTCTTCAGATGTGACACTGAATATAGAGCTGTACTCAATTAGTTTACTTTTTCATGAATTTATTTTTAAAAAAAGATCACTTTAACATCAAATGTGCGAAAGAGGAACAGCTGTAACTTTCACTCTCAACGTTCCGCAAGCATATAATACTTATATACTGCGAATTTCTTTGGTAGGTTACACGCTCAAAAGGTAGGTTACACGCTCAGTTCAAGTTCACTCGAAGTTTCAGCCTTCCCTTGGAGTCCTTATCTCGTTTTGTCTCTAACATTTTTTGTTGGGGTTGTCGGCTCATGCCCTAGTTAGATTCCACTTTACCAAAATAACACGATGCAGAGCTGGGCCTCCGAGGACGAGTGTTTTGACGGCGCCCCTTGCAGAGTTAAAAGCGGTTTTTAGACCCCATTCCCAGAGATTAGATCGATCCAACTAGATCGACCTAACTCCCTGGGGGTTCACGCTAAATAGCTGTCAGCCGAGCGGGCACGAAAGTTAATTACCCCCTTACAGCTTGTAGTAGGCGGGACGGACATTTAAGCCGGATTATCTGACAGTAATCTAGTGAGACTCCCCACGGGGATAGATCGATCTAAAATCTATGGGAATTCGCCCTTAGAGTGTGTTAGGCTTCTCGTCTTTACTATGAGAAAAGATCACCCAGCGGGCAAAATCATGTTGATTCTACAAATAAACTGCGATCAGCTAGGCAGCGTAACTTACTCCCTTCGCAAGAAGTTCACAAGAAGTTCGCCAGTGAGACGTGCGTGGTCCGAGACGCACGTCGCAAACAATGAACCAGCAAGTGTCTTTTGCTTGTTGAGTACGGCGCACGCCCTCACAGCTACGATCAAAGTCGAAATCACACGAGGAATGCGTCGCACGTGCGCCACCCCCACTCCTGGTGTATAAAAGGCGTGCTCACGACGCACACTCATGTCTCGCCATTGAACGTCGATTGTACAACGTGCACCACAATTTCCAAAAATTTGAAATTTTGCTCTATTCAACTTCTAATATGCCCCAAGAGAGCAGAAAAGAAAGCAGGAGGACGAAGAAAGGAGAGAACACGAGGCAAAACTGACGTACGCCGTCATCACAAACGTGTGAGGCATGTGTGAAGCAAGAGTGACGCTAAAGAGAAAACTACATTCGCCGTGCGTCGCATTCTCCTCGTAAGTGGTGATTGCGTGCCACGTACGCAGGTAGCAAAACAAACTCAAGAAATGAGTACAATTTCCACCTCCATCGCACCTGGCAATTAGCAACCAGTTTGAAAGACACCTGACGTGGCCCCTGCGACTTGCAAGGCAGACTTGCACCTTTCCATTGAAACCTTTCCTCTACCTCTACGAGCTCCACGGCCTCCATAGCACCCAAAATTCGTAGGGGACGTACAATCTTAAAATTGTGACTGAGACCTTTAGTAACATTATGAATAGGCATTATGAATAGGCATCAAAATCGATAGTGTAAAAAACTTTAACCGATTTTTTCTCAGCCAAAATGGCATGAATAGATGATTCAAAATAAGTTCTCACTCTTCTCAAAGGACGCCAGTTTTTGTTTTTTTTTCTGTGAACCCTCTGGTGTTTGTTTTTTTCTTTCCAAATATGCGTTGGTTTATTAACCAGCATGAAGTTAACGTTTGAAACAGGTGAACCGTTTATTCTTAAAGACATTTCATCCACTGACAGTAATACAGTTTTACATATCCAGCACTACAAATACAAGTCAAATAAAGATATGAGCAAAGTGTTACATACAACTCCTATTATATGATAAAGATTCATTACAGAAACAATCTAAACGCTTTACATAAACGTACATGTAAAACAAATGGCTGAGTTGTGTGGAGACACAGGAATACTTGAAAACGGCCTCAAAAGTTTATTTCAGACACGTTATATGTTGCAAGTAATAATTAAAAGGAAAGCAACTGTTCGTATGAGATTCATATTTCACAATAAATAGATTGTAAACAACTCATAGAAATAAAATACATTCCATTTTACCACCAAAAACAGTGGTTATCGCAAGTATTCTGGAATCTGTGCTTGCCATCAGACTAAGTGGACTTTTATAAATGGCTATACCTCCGTAATTAACTCTTAAGGGATGACTACAAAAAATCATTTTTTTAATAAAAAGGACTAACTTTGGCTGTCGGAGTGGATTCATTAACCATTGGTAAATATGGGGAAATCGTAATCCAGGAAAATCCGAAAATCCGTTTCTTATTACCAAAACGAACAATTGTTATCCCTTAAAGTGTCCCAGAATTTGTTGCGATGACCTTTTACGAGTGAAAATAATACTTGTATCAAATCTTATCAAATATATGACATTTAATACATTGAACAACTAAAAAGTTTAACGTGCACAAGATTTGCGAAAGTAATAACATAAAGCCATAATATTCAACCAAGGCTGTTTCCTTAAAATCGGTATATATATATATACCGAAGAGATTCAATCAAATAAAATCGTTTTTTGTGGGGCTTTTGAAATAGTATACAACATAAAAGTATGAGCGTTACAATAATTTTGTAACTGACTACTGATACATGTAAAACCATTGTTAATTTCCGAATTATAATATAATAATAATGTTTGTTAATACATAAAATTTACAAATTAAAATATTTACATAAAGGGATATACAATAAGACCAAAATGAGTTTGAAAATAAATAAAGCACAGACTTCTTGATAAATGCAATGGGGGTAAAATAAAAGATATACAATAATGACCAAGATAAACTCCAAATTAAAACACAGATCTTAAAAAGTTTGAAAAGAAAAAGGGGGAATAAAGCTTATTTTAAAATGTCTGGTTCTGAATTTAGGTACACTATGATTTGACTGGCTATGAAACGTTTCATTTGGAGCAAAGAATACAATTTCATCACAGTGGATATTAGGTTGATTTTGTCATATTCGACTGCAAATAGCAATTCAGATTCGGCAGCGCAGTATGACTTGTAAAAAGAGTCTATTAATCCTCGAAAAGTTGAACGGAAATTTACAGACCCTGCATGCTGTAGGTCTTACGAATAGGGAGTGATACATAAAGATATCTCCAAAAGGCGACTGTACATTTCTAACCTCAAGGTAGGGTTAATACCTATTGATTTTACCATTCAAATCACCTAAAATCTTGACTAATGGCATGACTGTCATTCCTAAAGCTCGGGAAATTTACTTCATAGAAAAACTGATCGGTTACATCTATTGCCATAACTTCATTATTACCCTTTTTGTTAAGTGTTCCATGAAAACAATTCAATACTATCACAAAAACAGAATAAGGCAGTATGAATATACCACGTAATACCATTTCCTAATTAACTGTCATGTTCGGCTGTCCCATAGATCTTCAATGAATCTGAAAAACTTTAAATCAAAACATTTGGCAACGTGGAAGGAAAGGTTGTCTGCTAGGATTCATAGTCCGTTCTCCATTAGTTTGTAAAGGTGACATCTGCCCCATATACCAGTACTAACCCCAACACTCTGACTTACCTTTACTAATTATATGGGACCCCAAACTTCCATTTCTAGGACTACCACTCCTGTCACACTGGGTCCAAATAATTGACCTGAAATCACCTTAGGTTATGCTGAAGTTAAAAGTAAAAAGGTATATATCTCCATACCATTTTTTAATTTTGCAAACAAATTCTTTGGTGTTATGGTGTAGTTTCCTACAATCTTTCCACATAATCACAATGTTCTTCCACGAAAATTTTCAACTCTCTCCTGGCATCCTTGTCCCGTATTGTTTCCAACCAATAATGTACGCAGCTTTCAAGAGTGTTCTCTAGTTCTTTCTTTAAGAAAATTTCTTCAAGGACAAATCTGACAAAGATTGGTTTCAGGTGCTCCCATCCTAACTCTCCCAATGATTTCAGAATGCGTGTAATCCGCAGATAATTGTGGCGAGACCTAAATAAAAATGGTGAATATTGAATAGTTATCAGTACTTGGCTGAAATTTCAATTTAAACAAAAATGACCACCCCCATCATTAAATGGTCACTAAATATAACCAGAATAATAGATATCTAGAGAGCAAAGCTCAGAGATGAAAGGGGGCCTTTATAAAAATCGGAAAACGCAAGCACTGTGTACAGCTGTATATGGGGTGGGGTTAGGGGAGGGGTCCAGGGAGCATAAATACAATATCCAGACAAATCAAGAAAACATGCATCTTTCTAAATTGTTTTAACCACAACAGAACCTTACAAGCAATCCACATATTGACATCTGCGTACCTAAATGAATTTGGCTGGTGTTTGTACACAATCATATGACACTGTACAGTTATTTTGCATTAGTTTTTGCAGATTTCAGTGGAAATCAATGATTTTTAAAATTATTTTCTTAAAATGTTTTTCTAATCTGTACTAAAACAATTTACCTGTTCAAATGGGCATATCGCTCTCTGTAATTTTCTGCCCTTTCTATTCTGAAAACTCCTCTGTTTGACACATCCTGGCTTGCCTGTTTTTGGCCTTTTGTGGTTTCAACAGGAGGCAAATGTGGGTCTGTTCTATCATCATGTGCTTTATCATCTACAGTTGTCAATTCAGCTTCCACACTATTCTGAGATAACTGTTTATCATTCCCACAGACTGCAACTGCATGATTCCCTGGTTTAATCAACTTCATTCCATAAAAATCAAGCATCATTTCAAATGACTTCAATACTCTGTTCTTGGCAGGTTTGTCCTTTTTAATTGCCTGAATGAGAATTGAAAAGAGATTTTACTTTAAAAAAGTATGAAGTGAATAAAAAGTGTGTCATATAGGAAAACATTTCAATTAAAAAAAATTCAACCAGAACTAGTAAGTAAATGCATGGCTATCTTACAGTGAAGCATAAAACATCTGATCTAATTTTAAGACCTACCTTCATTTCATGTAACTGAAGCTCTTTGGCATGAAAGTTCATACCTGGTTCTCTCAGAGGGAACAACCTAACATGAACAGAATCATAAGGTGCTCAAGTCAACTTACATTAAGGTGATAAACCATTATTCTCACAATTCCTCTCAAAGGGTTCTGTAATAACATATTAACACTATCAACCACAGATGTATGAACTTGACAAACTGGTATAACTCACTGGCACGTGACCTCAGCTTCAGAAGTGAGAATTTAGTAATGAGAACAGGCATGTCCACAGGAAAGATATACTGTAGTTATTTTTTTCTTCATAGGTATAGGTTTTGTTTACCAATGAGATACATGTTACTTATCTTACACTGTATTTAAAAAAAAACATAAGCAGGTATCTCTCACCACTGAATGTAACCATGATGTCTTTCCAACAGGCTGTAATCACGCCACCATAGCTCATGAATGGTGTCTATCTTGGCACCTGAAAAGCAATGAAATGGAAAATATTTTAAGAGCCGACTCAAATTTTCACATGGATCAAATATTAAATTTATTTTTATTTTATTCTTTTAAAATATTTTTATTTTCCCTACAAGACCAACTTTAGAATGAGCTTGCAAATAAAAACAAGGCAGCAAATCTGACAAATGTACAGACATAAAGCACAAAATTATTGGTAATCTTTACTCACAGCCAGCTGAGTGATGACATTAATTCTATGGAAAAATTCTCGCTGGACCTCTATGTCTTTTGGCCAGGTGGTAGCAACTATGTCCAAATACTTTTTTTTTCACATAGGAGTTTCTTATAATAAGTAACACAGATATTCTTTCATGATGCTATCATTGGAAGTGTACAATAAATAGAGTTTTTGTCAATTTTGATGCAATATTACATAATGTTCAGTGGCATAATCACCACTAGTTCGTGGGGAATCATAACTTAGTTAAAAAGATATCACAAAACTCACTTAAAAAGATCTCACTAATCCTTTTCCACATGCACACACAAACATACACCTCCCCCCCCAAATAAAATTGATAATATTACTTCTAAATACTCTAGTATAATGAAAATTATCATAAAATGTTATGTTCTACCGGTACTATGTTGATTTTTTCAATAACTTTAACTAAAAGATTTCCAATAACAGTCACGAAAACAAAAATCAAAATGTTGCAGCACGGATCTATATAATATAGCTCTTATCCTGTTCTTTAAAATTTAAACAATGTTATTTTCATAGCAGCAGGTACCTTCAGGTCTTGACTCCAGTTTATTCGTGTAGAATTCCCAATTGCTAGTCATCTTTTTAAAGTCATCTTTTATATCCTAAGAAAAAATAAATGTCAAAAAAATTTCCACAGATCCCCACATTTGTATTAACCATTTCATGGTAAAACTTGTTTGTAAAACTTTTAACAAATGCATATGAACAGTACAACATTTTAAATTTGATTAAAAAAAGGTTACTTACTGGGTATCCATTTCTGTATCGTTTAAGGTCTTCAGAAGCATATGCCAAAGGCTTTGAGATTCTTATTTTTCTTTCATCCTGATCATCAAAGAAGAAATTATTAATGAATTCTCAGTGCATGAAGAATGAACAGCATTAATATT